GGTAAGAAAATTAAGCAAATGAAAAGACAGACCGTTAAGAGCTACAGGTAAAAGAGAACACTGCAGAGAAGCAAGTACATGGTTCAGCTGTGGGTAGCACTCATCTGAACACTGGAACATAAACACAGATGTGGATCTAACCCAAATCATCAGCTCTACCAGGAGAGTGGAGTAATGAGAAAAGGTGTGTGAAATGAGTGGGATGATGGAGGAGAGGAGGAAAGTGCTAAATTCTCAGCAGGCAAAGATAATGCCTCCAATAGAATATCAGGACATAGCACTTTGAGCCTGATATTCAAACAGGGAGATAAATACCAAAACAATTAGCTAAACAATTGCAAGTTGCATGAAAAGGAAAGGTCAAAGGACTGATGTTTTTTTTTTTTAAATGTCTTGACCTCTTAACTCTTTGAACTATGATTATTTATATTTTAGACCAAAAAAAAATTTAGGCTTAAAAATTTAAAACTTAAAAATTTAGACCTGGAGTGGAGGGAACTTTTGCTGCCCTTCCTAAGTTCCATATAGTCATTTCTAGTTAAGGACTAGAGAACTCAATCTTATTTTTCCTTGGATGGGACCCAGAGCTCTTGCTATGATACAATATAAAACTTTAAACCACATGGATGAAAGAAATCTTTTCTCCAAATCTGCATTTTGCCTTGTAGTTGGGAGAAGTCTTTTTCCTTTCCCCAAATGGAAGGACTTAACTATTCCATGTTTAGAGGGATCCAAGACACCCTCTGCATGGCCAGATTCAGTCTGGCTTTCCACCCCCCTCCCCCCAAACTCATGACAGTGAAATTACACACCCCTCCCTTTCTCCCCATATCACACTCAAATATCCATTTGGGTGATACCTGAATTAACATGTCTTCTCTCCTAGTTAGGTATTAATACTAGTTAGGTATTAAGAATTGCAGGTACAGGGCTTGATACAGATATCGAGATACTAACAAATTAAATGTCATATGCATGAGAAACATGTATCCAACCTCATAAAATTAAGTGAATTTAGAGTAAAATTATACACTTTTAATATAAAATTACATCATCCTCATCATCATTCTAGAATTTGGCCCTCCTGCAGACCTTTAACCTCAGAATGCCACAGGAGCAGTCTGAACCATGGAACATTCCATGACAACGCTGCTTTTGACTGACCAGCATGTTGGTGTCTAGGACCTGCTATCTGGCACTCGATCACGGCCAACAGAGCTATTTTTACTATATTATTGATTTGGTGTAACTACTTTTTAAAGCTCAGGGTTAGATTAGTTTTCTAGCAAGCATCCCATAAAGAGACCCCTCTACTCTTTGCCCATGAGCCCTGGTTCATTGAAGATAAGAAAACAGCCGAGGCAAGTCTGCCTTCCAAGGTTTGTTGAGTTAGGATCAGACTCTCTGGGAACAAGGCAACCAGCCTGGCCTAGTCCCTGGGAGGAGGATGCTGAGCATACTCAGTGACATTACTGGCATGGGGAGAGCTGGTGCTTTGCCTCTCCTTTGTTTATGAAGTAATTCTGAGCTTAGAATAACTGGTATCTACGTTATTCAGGCTTTGCACTATTTCTGCTTTCTGTCTGGCTTCTTCTCTTCATACTGACAGTACTCCCTGGTGTCTTTCCAGAGCTTGGTAGTGCTCTTTCCTTCCTCATTTATAATTCTCTTCAGGTGTGTTTAGTTCTTCCCTTGCCTCTAGATTCATGAACTTCTCTCTTTCCCTTCCATAGGCAGCTAAATCTGAATAAGATCATTTGAAAGAAATGACAGTGGTGCATCCATACAGCAGGATAGCCATCATCAATTAAAAGCAAAGGGATTACATTTGCCAGTAAATGCATGGAGTTGGAGAATATTTTGGCTAAGTGAAATAATCCCCCCAAACCAAAGGCTGAATATTTTCTCTAATATGTGGATGCTAATTCACAATGGGGAGAGGGCACTAGAGAAGAATAGTGTTACCTTAAGTAACACTAAGAATTGCAGGTACAGGGATAGTGATACCTTAGGTAACACCATTCTTCAGTATAGGGATTCTTAGGTATAAGGTATTCTTAGGTAGAGGGAAGTGAAGGGGGAGGGGAAGTGGGAGTGTGGGATAGGAAGGAGAGTAGAAAGAAACAGACATAAATTAATAATATATATACTCTGCATGACCAACATGATTCTACAACAGGTATTCTCAAAAAAATGAGAAATTATATCCCATCTATGTATGATACATCAAAAGTGCAAAAATGCATTTTATTGTCATATATAAATAATTAAAACAAATAAAAAAAATTAAAAATTACAACCTGGATGGACCTTAAGTTTACTGAGTGGAAACAACCAATCTCAAAAGGTTACATACTGTATGATCTATTTTATATTCTTAAAATGGCATAATAGAGGGGGAAAAACTTGTGGTTGCCAGGGGGAAGTGTGACTATAAAGGGACAGCATGAGGGAGGTCTCTTGTGGTAGAATACTTCTCTCTAGTGCTAGTTACATAAATCTACACATGTAATAAAATGACACAGAACTATACATATACTTCATAGCAATGCCAATCTTCTGATTTTGACACTGTGCTCTTGTTATATGAAATGTAATGGGGAAACTCAGAGAAAGGTAACTGGAATTTCTCTGTTTGAATCTTCCTGTGAATATCTAATTATTTCCAAATATTTGCCTTTAAAAAAATGAACTACTGACACGATAACAGAGAAGAAAAAAAAATCATGCTTAAAGAAGCCAGTCAAAAACGAATACTAAAGAAAAAGTAGATAAATTGAACTACATCAAAACCAAAAGCTTTTGTGCTGCAAATGATATGGTAAAGGAAGTGAAGACCACCCTTGGATGTGAGGAAGTATTTGCAAGTCATATATCTGATAAGGAATCTATATCAAAATATATGAAGGACTCTTGAAACTCAAAAGGACAGACAACCCAGTTGAAAAACTTGAATGGCCAAATCTCCAAAGTAGATATACAACTGGCCACTGAGCACAGGGAAAGAGGTTCAACACTGATCGATTATGGAAGTGCAAATCAATGAGACACTTCACAATGGACAGTTCACACTCACTAGGATGCCAATCAAAAAGATAGGTAATAACAAGTGTGAATAAGGATGCAGAGATTCTGGGACACTCACACACTGCTGGTAGGAATGTCAAAAGGTAGAGCTACTTTGGAAAATAGTTCGGCAGTTTCTCAACATTTTAAATGTAGTTAAACGTGAACGTTTATAATGGTAGTATTCATAATAGCCAAAAAGGAAAAAAAATCTAATATCCAATAACCAATGAGTGAATAAATGTAGGCAATCCATTACAATGGAGTATGATTCAACAATAAAAATGAAGTATTGATAACATGGTACAATGTGAAAGAAGTTAGTTACAGGCAGCCACATATTGTATAATTTTAATTTACATAAGATGTCCAGAATAGCAGTCTATAGAGACAGAAAGTAGTTTATGGATAGGGGGCTGGGGAGAAATAAGAACAGCTGATAATGGGTATGGAATTTCTTTGGGGGGAGGGAATGAAAATATTTTAAACTTAGATTGTGGTGATGGTTGCACAAGTCTATAGATATATTAAAAAACCATTGAATTTTGCACTTTAAATGGATACATTTCATGTTGTATGAATTATATCAATGATATTAAAAAGAAGAATATGCTATATGATTCCATGTACATAAAACTATTTTAAAAATGCAGGCTGATGTGTGGTGTTAGAAAAGAGCTCAGAGATTGCTTGGGGATGGGAGGGTGAAGGGCAGGTGTGGGCAGGAGGGAAGGATTTCCAAGGGAAATGACAAAACTTTTTGGAGTGATGGATATATTCACCATCTTATTTGCAGTAATGGTTTTATGTCAACGTTGATTAAATTACATATTTTAATCCTATCCAGTTTATCAATTATTTTTAAAAAGCAGGAAGAAAAAAGCATGTGTAAACTCAGTAATTCAACAAACACTTATTAAGTAGAGGAATAGTATTTAGAGTCTAGGGGTACAATGGCAAGGAAAAGAGGTGTCTGGCCTTCAAGCAGCAACTCGTACTCTGTCAGGCAACAGGCCAGGAAAGAAGCATATATAGATTGCACAATAGAATAATATGAGCTCTGTAGAAATATGCCTAGTAAGTTATGGTAATCTTCCTGGTGACAGATGGAGGGGAGAGGGGATTGGGGAAGTCTTCCTGGAAGTGATGGATTTGTGATGATGTAACAGTCCTCCTTGGTGATGCTAACGTAAGGGGAGCAGTAGTGACACATACTACATAGTTGTTACATCTCAGAGGGCACCTGATTTTATTTGCATTGTATCAAAGCCATGCTTTTCCCTCCAATGAGCCTTGTCAGCGAAGCAGATTGTTAAGTGCAAAACAAGGATTTAACAATAAGTGGAAAACAAGGATAAAACGCCTTCCTTTGCCCTCTGAAGACTGCTAAATAAGTTCTGATTACATATTCAGAGTCTGTCCTTCCTGCTGTGTTCTTTGAGGGCCAAAACTGAATGTCTTATTCACCATCCTGTCCCCTGTAGGTAGCATAGGGTTTGGCACACAGCAGAGCTTGATGAAGATTGTTAGCTCATAGATTTGGATTTGGACTGTAGCACATGGGCATACATTTGACTGGTGTCCTCAGACATGTGTCAAAGTTTTGTGAAAAGAGGTACTAAGTGAAGCAGTACAACTGCCTTCCCCAATTCATGGCCGCTGCTTGTGTCTGAGCTCTGGCCCTCGCTCCCAACCAGTCTGGCCCTGTCTCCCCATGTTTTTTTTCCTAGTGGACTGACATCAGAAAACTCTTGCTTTGAGTCCACCTCCCCAAAGGTTCTGGGCATGAAGTTTTCCTGAGAAGGACCTTGGCCATCTGTTCTAGGGAGAGGCAGCTGGCCACTGGCCTGCTCTGAACCCATTGGGCATTCTGGGACCTAACTCAAGGACCACTCTTGCATTATTTCTTTTCCTTTTCTCCTCCTTGCTTCTAGCACTTCTCTATGCCACCATCTTTGGGAATGTGACGACAATTTTCCAACAGATGTACGCCAATACCAACAGGTACCATGAGATGCTCAACAGTGTTCGGGACTTCCTGAAACTCTACCAGGTGCCCAAAGGACTGAGTGAGCGAGTCATGGACTATATTGTGTCTACCTGGTCCATGTCTAGAGGCATCGACACAGAGAAGGTAAGAAGTGCCGGGAAATCACTTGTCTGTTGGCTTTCTCAAGGTAGGCTGAGGCCCTCAAACCTGGCTGGGTTCAGACTTCATCTGGGTGATCCTAGATTCTCGGGGTCCTTTCTCCAGAGGTTTGGTTGCTTCCAGATCAGCCTTGCCCAAAGACCAGCAATTAAGAGTCATTATTTAAGAAACTGGAAAAGCGATGTGTGCCTCCTGGAAAAGAGGAAAACTGGAAGTCTAACTATCCAGAACAGAATTTCCCAGATTTGGACAATGATGAGAATCAGGTCATGATAAGAGGAGGTTGTTAGTACTACTGATTTTTCCTTTTGTTTCACATTCTAAGGTAGCACGACACTGTTACTAATATAGTCTTTATTCCAAATTTTGATTTTTGTTCAACGGGAATTTACTTGCATGAACATTGACTTTTTTTTAATCGCATTAAAATTAGCTATTTCCTGTTAAATGAGGTTTATTGCCTTCCCCTTAAATCATGTGCTCTAGGATATTGCCCCACTCATCTTCCTTCCTGTCAATCTAGATAAAAATTCTATTATTCATTTATGAATCGTCTCCTTTGTACATTTTCTAAAAGCAAAGATTCCATCCCAGCTCAGTTTTTCTCTACTTAGTCTTTTCTACCACACTTCCTCCCTTTATTGCCAATCTATACATTCTTGGGGAAATACCAATTCCTTTTCTTTGTTAGAATTAGGAAAACAAAAACACTATTGCAAAAATACCTATTGACATATTCAAGTCTGATTTCAACTAGCCTTTGGGATCAGCTGTCCATGTTCCTATCTTCCTTCATCGGAATAGTTAGTTGAGAAGTGACAGTGTAAAAGGAAAAATGAACTAAAATCAGCCCTCAACTTTAAAAGAAATGTCACTTTGGATCTGTTGACTGTGCCATGAGGCCTACAGCAGCACCGCCACAGCATCGGCTATCATGTCTTGACCGTGCATTGACAATAAATGTATTTTTGTACTTCTCCTGCCTGTCTGCCCCTGCAACAGAGCCTTATTTGGCTTTCAGTGGCCATGGGAGGGAGTTGCTGCGATCTCTGTTGACGGGATGAGGACAAAAAGCCCAAATCCTTTTACTAACTGCCCCTGGTCATGGAGCAAAGAACAGCAAAACTAGGATTTGAACCCAGTTTCCCTTTGACTCCAAAGTTTTTTCCTTGGATTCCCTCCGCCACCCTTTTAAAATGTAAAACATGTACTGGAGGGAAGAAGCAGGAGTCCTGATGATGAGGTTCTGATTTCCCGGATGGGCAGGTTGGGAGTTGGAGCCTCACTGAGTCCCCAGCTTTGCCAACCCCCTGCCCCAGTTGTCCCTATTATTTCTGTGCCTCTCTCTCAACAATGCCTGTAGGCTCTGTGGGTTCATGACCGCTGATGGAGCAGAAAGGAACTTTGATCTCTCTGCCCTGGAGCTCCTTTTCCCAGGCCCCAGAATGCCTTTGTAAATCTGGTTGTCTGGAAAGAAGCCCTTCCCCACCACCCTCCCTGCAGGGCTAGGCTGGGCCTTCGCCAGTGAGAGATGACACAGTCAGCATTTACCTTCCCTCTCCCTCCCTGCTGTGGAGGGCTTTGGGATTTGTCCCATTTCCTGGCCCAGATGGGAGAGGAAATAGCCATGAACTTCACTATGGTTACTTACTACAGAGCCCAGTGTGGCCAGAATGGCTGTTCCCCTTGGCAGGGACTTATGACAGGCAATTACTAGGGAGAGAACCTACACCTCTTCCAGGGATGACCAGGGTCGGGTGGTAGTTCTGGAACACTCTGGTTTTAGTGGTAAGTAGCTGGTGACTTTGAGCACATGCTTGTCTCTCTGAACCTCAGTTTTCTTGTCTATAATACCTGGAAACTAGATGTCCTCTAAGGTCCTTTTAGCTATGAATTTCTGAACTACAAAGACTCCCTCTGATGACATGAGGTTGCTGCTACAATAACATTAAAAATGACAACTAGGGCACTGAACATTTGCTTATTCTAGGACCTTCCATACAACAGCTCATGGAATCCTTGCAAAATTCTCATGCATGATGGAGCCAGGTGCAGGGTGCATATCTGTAACCCCAGCTACTTGGGACAATCACAATTTCAAGGCTAGCCTGGGAAATTTGCACCCTGTCTTGAATTTAAGAAAAGCAAAAAATGCTGGGGATATAACTCAGTGGTAGAGCATCCCTGGCTTCAGTCCCCAGTACTGGGGAAAAAAAATCCACATACAAGTTCAAAAATGAAAACTCAGTAAGTTAAGTATTGCTTCCAGCAAATGCTGAGGCTGTGATTGGATCCAGATCTGCCTGAATCTAAATCTTCTCTCTCAACCTTGACCCAGTCTTGCCCAGCTGGGGGAGGCTATGAGCCTTTGGTGACATATCTCTGTGGCCTTTGAGGCTCTCGAGGAAGAGGAGGGTATCTCCTCCTATAAGCAGTAGGGAGGGGATTGCCAGTGGGGTTGTGGACCGTCCACCCCTCTGTGGAGCTAGTAGATGAGAAGATGGAAATGCCTGAAGGCTACAGCAGTCTGTAGTTCCTCCACTCCAGATTCTCTCACCTCCTCCTGTTGTGGGCTCTGGGATCAGAGCCCATGAATAAAACATTGCCTCCATGCCTTGCCTTGTTTGCTAGCAGCCTCTGCCAGCAAAGCCCAAGTCAGAGGAAACCAAATATTTAAAGGTGAACTCACCTGCAGAATAAATCTTGGTTCCGAACTACCGAGCACCATTTTGACATGACATGCACCTGCTCCCTGCTCTCTGGTGATCTGCTTGGAAAGAAGAAACCCAAATTAAATCTTCACTTCTGCAGGAGCCTTGTTTTTCATAAGCCTTACGGAGCGAGGCACTTAGCAAGCACTCTGCCAAAGGTTTGGCAGCCTGAGTTCTGTGTGCCTCAGTGAGTCCTCCATCCCCACTCCCAGAAAGCGGGTACCCAGAAGGAGGGGATGTTCATTAAGTCACCTGCTGGGGCTACACTGCCCTGAGCTGTGTACTGGTAGATGTGATTTTATTTAACCTTTGCAAGTCAATGTTACCAGCCTGTGTTTTACAAGAAAACAGAGGTACAGAGCTGTTAAGTCACTTGATGGGGAAGGAGTCGGGATTTCGACTCTGACCTTTTCTCACTGCTAAGCTTCCATGCAGAGACCCGGTGGGTGGGTGGATAGGAAATGAAGTTGTCAAGAGCAAGGTGATATTTGAGCTCAGCAAATGGCCTGTGCTAAGGCAGAGAAGCAGGGGGCAGAAAAGTTCCCAGCACTGCAAGGAAAAGTTTTCACTGAACGTTTGATTGCAGGCCCCATGCTGGGTTCACAGACTAGGGTGGGAGCAATCATTTCAGAACCACTCCTGAATTCGCTGGAAAAGTCCACTTGAAGGTGTTCTATTGTGTTACTGAATGCTTGCTATGTAAGGGGCCATGCAGAGGTTTCTTAACAAAAATTCGGTTCAGGGAAATATTTCTCCTTCTAGAAAAAGCTGAAAATGTTTTCATTGTTTGAGAAGATGAAACCTATATGTCCCCTTACAGTTCCCATTTTTCTTTGAAAATGCTGCAAGTAAAATTACAAGCCCAGCTGTTTTGTGTAGCTGCCTAGTATAAGAGTTTGTTAAGATGTGACCAACAGGTTTGAGATCCCTCCTATCCTATTTCCTGCTTGTGCAACTCTGGGCAAGTTATGTCATTTCCCTGTGCAACAGTTTCTTCATCTGTAAACTGACACAATAACATTATATCATGAGGTTTATATGAAGACCACATTAGCTATTGCACACAACACTTTTAAAGTGTAAAATTGCGTCCCTCATCTGCTTTCCCTTTCCTTTTTTGTTATTCTCTTTGGCACTCACCACTGGATATTATTTGTCTGTCTGTTTGCTCCTACTAGATGGTAAATTGCAAAAGGGTTGGGATTTTTGTCTATATCTTTTTCACTGCCTCATCCTCAGAACTAAAAATGATGCCTGTTATACCATAAGGTGCTCAAAAAATAGGTATTAAGCAAATGATTTTTAAAGTGTTTAACAATGCCTGGTACACAGTAAGTGTTCAATAAATGTTATTTTATGCATCTCTTTGAATAATACCCCATATTTAGTCCATCAGCAGGTCATGTCAGTTCTACATTCATAATATATTCTTTAGTCTATAATCAACCCACTAGGCTATAGAATACTAGAAGTTATTCCTTCTATCCAACTATAATTTTGTACCTGGTAACAACAAATTTACCATATATTTCAAAAGAATTAAGTGTATTTTGAATGTTCTCAACACAAAGAAATGATAAATACTGCAGTATGTTGATTGCCCTGATTTGATCAAGACTCATTGTATACATGTATCAAAGTATCATGCTGTACCCCATAAGTGTGTACATTTTGTTACATGTCAATTTAATTTTTTTTACTTATTTATGAATGTAACCTGAATTTGGCTCCACTTACAAAGTTCCCCAGGTCCCTAGCCTCATACTGGGATGTTTGTGGGAGTGACCTAAACAAATTCCTTGATTCCACTATCTCCACCCTACAATCAGGGCTCTCTAAACCCACTCCGTGGCTGCAGTATTCCTCTTAAAATATGTCATCTCATCCCACCCTGCTAAAATGTTTTCCAGTGCTCCTCCCATCAAAGCCAGAATGAAATCAAAGACTTATCCTGACCTAAAGTCCCTAGAGCTTGCTATTCTCCCTGCGCCTCTTCTCCTCACCCTCCCTTCCCCTCCCTTCATGATGGCTACTGCTCAGGCCCCCTCAGAACCATTCTGTTTGCCATCCTGCTGGAATGTTGTCTTCCACATGGCTCACTCACATCTGCAAGTGTTGGCTTCAATGTCACCTTAGAGAAGACTTCCCGGATGGAGTCCCACACACTCCCAACCCTCAAACCTGTGTCCTGAGCAGTCAGCGTAGATTATTTTAGACTCTGCTTGTCTCTCCCACAGAATGAGAGCACCGCCAGGGCAGGATTTGGCCAGAAGAGTAAAGTCAGGCTTTGTGGGGTGTTGCTGCTGCCCCAGGGGTGCTGAAGGAAGTGAACTGGAGGTTGCAGTGGGGACCCTCACACTGTTTCTTTCTGTGCCCATCCAGGTCCTGCAGATCTGCCCCAAGGACATGAGGGCTGACATCTGCGTCCATCTGAACCGCAAGGTGTTCAAGGAGCACCCAGCCTTCCGACTGGCCAGTGATGGCTGCCTGCGGGCACTGGCTATGGAGTTCCAGACAGTGCACTGTGCCCCAGGGGACCTCATCTACCACGCTGGAGAGAGTGTTGACAGCCTCTGCTTTGTGGTCTCTGGCTCTCTGGAGGTGATTCAAGATGATGAGGTGGTGGCTATCCTAGGTAGGCATTTCCCTTGCTGAATGGACAGGTTCTAGTACCCAAGATTGGCTTAGCTGCTGGACAGTTCAGTGTCATCGTCACCTTCAACCAGAGGTTGCTCCACAGAGCAGGGCCAATTGGTGTAGCCTCCAACAAATATTTAAATGTCTGTTTTGTGCCAGTGCTGTCTGAGGCACTTGGGTGTTTCAATGACAAGAATGGTTTTGTCCTCGGGGCTCCCAGTCTAGGAGAGAAATGAACAAGTATTTGCAATAGAGTGGAAGGGGTATCCAATCCAGTATCCAAGTGGGAAGAAAGGACACCTAAGTTAAAACCAAAAAATTGAACTAGTTAGCATAGAGAATAAAAGGAATGAAGGAATAGTCTAAGAAGAGGGGATGGCAGAGACATCTATTAGAGACAGAGACACAGATTCGTTATGGGAACTGCTAGTTACTCAGTGTGACCAAAACCAGAGGGGCTATGATGAGATATGAAGCTGGAGAGAGAGCTGAGCACTGGCAGATCACATCCAGCTCTGGAAGCCACGTAAAGGGCCTTGGATTTGACCTGGGGAAGCCAATGAGGATAGGGAAGATGAAAGGCATAGTTAGATTTATTCTTTAGAAAGATGACAGAAGTTGCAGCTTGGAGATTGGGTTGAAGGAGGGAGGCTGGAGCATGGAGACCAGGTTGTGTAGGCATGTTATCTAGGGACAAGTTGATGGTGGCCTGAACTAGGATGGTAACAGGCAGATGGAGAGCAGCAGATGGAATTGGGATATTTAACAAGTAGAATCAATAGAGCCTGGAGATGGATTCATTGTTGAGGGAGACAGAGCAGTCGAGAGGACTGGAGGATTTCTCACTTGGAGAACAGGGAAGCTGGAACACCATACACAGTGATAGGGAACATGAAAGAAAGAGCAGGGACACGGGGGACATGTTGATATTCGGGGACACTGAACATCGGTGGCTTTCGAGGAACTCATCAGGAACTCACGTTTTTCTTGGGGTTCTGTCCCTCTGAGGGAAACGAGCCATCACCATCATCATAATAGCCATCATTTGTGGGCATCTACTCTGTGCCAAACAGCTTACATACAGATTCTCATTTAATCCTCACGGTAACCCTATAAAATGGCTTTATTATCCCCATTTTGTAGATGAGACAGTTAAAGTTCAGAGAGGTTAAGGAAATCTCCTCATGGCTGATGGGGCCCATGGAGTCCTCTGACTCAACCATCACCTTGTCCCTACATAACATAGCTCTGCTCTTACCCATTTTGTGGCATAATCCTAATGATAATTAACATCATGTTCTGGCCCTTGATGTTGCCAGGCAATGCTAGATATTATAAGCACGTGTTTTATCTTTGATATATGATCTCTCTGGAAACTAAGGCAGGGAGAGATTGAGTTACACTGAAGTCCCAGGCTATTTGCTCCCTAGAAACTTAGAGTTTTATTGAGATACAAACTACATAGAGACAGATAGAATTATTTGTTTAAAAGGTCCAAACTGAAGCTGGACATGGTGGCACATGCCTGTAATCCCAGAAACTAGGGAGCCTGAGACAGAAGGATCACAAGTTCAAGTCAAGCTTCAGCAACTTAGTGAGGCCCTAAGCAACTTAGTGAGACATGTCTATAAAAAGGACTGGGGACACAGCTCAGTGGTTAAGCACTATTGGACTCAATCCCTAGTGCAAAAAAAAAAAAAAAAAAAATTCCCAAACTTTGTTCCTGCTTGGAGCTGGAGTATACAATCTGCAGCTTCTCTCTCTCTCCCTGGGACCCAAGCCAACTTGCCCTCTTGATTCCATTTGATTCAGGGTAAACCCAGGATGATTTATATTCCTTCAGCATATGCTGGCAGATGGTCAGAGGGAGACTGGAGTAGCTTCTGGGAGGGGCCTGGAGACTGAGCCTGTTTGCTAAGTGTTCCTGGTTCTGTGATATCCATTGACCTGCGGACCAGATACTCTGCTCCTTGCCTTGTCACAGAAAAGTGAGGTTTGATAGAGCATAAGGAACAGGACTCGGGAAGGTTGAAGACTTTGCTTTGGTATATATGAAGGGAAAGGGCTTTTATCTCCACCTTTAATACCCATCCATACCCTTGATAGAACTTTTTTAATTTTTGTATTGTTAATAGCCGTCAGGATGTTTACCTGGCTGAGAAAGAGTAGTGACTAGGAGCAATCCTTTGAATTTGAATTTGGGTTAACGCTTGGTGCAGGGCATCTTTCATTTCTCCACTGCTAACTCACCATGTGCCATTCTAAGGAATCCAGCCTGAGACCAGTACCATCTACCTAATACACTCATACTCTGGCCATCCTTAACAACCCATCCTAAACACCTGCTCTGTTAGGAATTGGTTTGGACACCTAGACTCTGGCATGGAGGTAAGGAACTGAACAGAGGTGAGGAAGCAAATGGCACTTCCTACCCCTCCTCGCTTCCCCTCAGTCTGACTGACCTGGTCCATTGACTGCTTCTCCAAATCCAGACCCTCTTGGGCATCTGCCTGCTCGAGGTGGCAATGTGGTTGGGAACTCTAAGAGCTCTTCGGCTTTGGATTCACAGTGTTTGCTGCCCTCAAGCTGTCCAGACTAGAAAAGGCACCTCCTATGTTCCCTGGCAGCCAGGTTTTAGGTCCTAAAATTAGGTCCAAGACTTCATATCCTGAATAATCTGTTAAGAGGTCCTTATTCTGTAAAAGGACATGACAAGTCCTTGAATTAGCCTTTCCTCGGAGTCAAGAAGCATAAGAGAGCCCAAGCTATTTGCTCCCTAGAAACTTAGAATTTTGATGTTGTTTTGCTCTCAGTAGAACTTTTTTTCTATATTGGGGATTGAACCCAGGAGTGCTTTTACCACTGAGCCACATCCACAGCCCTTTTTATTTTTTGAGACTGGGTCTCGCTGAGTTGCTTAGGGCTTCTCTTAAGTTGCTGAGGCTGGCTTTGAACTTGCAATCTTCCTGCCTCAGCCTCCTGAGCCACTGGGATTACAGGCGTGTGCCTACCACCCCCAACAGAATAACTTTTGCTCAATGAGCCAAAATCGGTTTGTTCTTGCAAAGGGGTTCAAACATCAAATGGGTGTTGGAACTAGATATTTATGGTCCTTTGATGCCCTTCAGTTCAATCTAACAAAACCTAATTGAACACCTGCTTTACATCAGGTACTTTCATGTGGGGGTGAGGGTGACAGCAGTGGCCCAAATATTGCCCCAGCCTTCTAAGAACTGCTCTAATGGAGGGGACTGACATTTAAAGGACAGCAATCACTCTGTGACAAGTATTACCACAGAGAAAATGCAAGTGCTTCTAGGGGCTCATTGAACAAACCGCTCGTTGAGCAGCTGCGATATACCCATGCTCCAGTGAGGAAGGATAATATCCAGGGAATCTTTATCACAAGCCAGAGACTTTAGAAAAATATCCAGAGCTCATCTGTCTCATTCTTTTGCTCTCTGGTCTCTTGTTATCAGTTGACTCATTTACATTCTGCTAATTTGCTTCCTCTTTCCAGTTCCAATATTCCACCCCCATTCTCTGATTAATTTTAGCACCGACTCCAAGAATGAAGAAAAGGTCAGTACTCATAACTGAGTGTATTTAGTATGTGTTAAAAATAGAACCTTTGCTAATGAAAGTCTTCTAGACTTTTCATGATTGCAACCCACCACATGAAATGTGCATGATGTTGCAAACTAATACATGTATACACACAGTGCTACATAAAATTTAGTGTTTCTTTCACTGTATGAAATGCAACATGGTGTTTTTTATTAGCTGCTATTCTTTCTTTTTTTATTTTATTTATTTATTTATTTTTGGCACTGGGGATTGAACCCAGGGGCATTGAACCACTAAGCCGCACAGGCAGCCCTTTATTTTTTGAGACAGGCTGTCAAATAAGTTGCTTAGGACCTCATTAAGTTGTTGAGGCTGGCCTCGAACTGGAAATTCTCCTTCATTATCCTCCCAAGCTGCTGGTATTACAGGCATATGCCATTTCACCCAGCTCTATTATTTTTTTTTAAATGAACATCATGACCTACTAAATTGCTTTCTTGAAATGATCAAAATCCACAATTTAAAAACATAGTCCCATGAACCTAGACAACATGCTGTTTGCATTGAAAGCCATGCTGCCCTCTGACAACAGAAAGTTCTAGAAATCTCTTTCCCTCTGTTCTTCTCTCTGCCTTATATTTGATATGACACCCTCCCCCAATCTCCTTTTGGAATTTTCTTAGAAATTACTTAGCAGTTTCTCAAACTTAGTTTCTTGACTCCTTGAAATAAATCCACACTTTAATATGCCCATTCTATTTATTAGATTCTTGAGAGGTAGATTTCTTTTGAATCTTTAAAGATGTTAGAATAAAAAGACCTAAGTATCATTTTGTCCCTACCCAAAAGTGCTGTTGGCTTCTACATGTAGATTCTTGTCTTGGTGTTCGGTTCTTGGACCAGCATAGATGAGTCAGAGATCAGCCTCAGGGTTGTGCTTATCTCACTGTGTTTCCATCCTATAAGTGCCATATTTGTAGAATCTCACTTCATTGTAACTAATGGGTTTTTCATTTTAGTGCTTAATTTGCATTTTGTTCATGAGTCATCCTGTATCTTATTTTTTCATTTTGCTTTCATTCTTTGGGAACCTCAGAAGTCTTTTGGCCAGGCTGCATCAAGTAGTAGAAAGAGGCCTGAACTTAGACTTGAGATTTAGTCATAGCCTTGAAAAAGTGAACCACTAGTTTGGTTAAGAGTCTCAAGTCCTCCTGTGTTTCTACTGAGCCCATCATACTGCATCTGTTTGCATTATTCATATCTCTGTTCTGTGAGTCCAGGTCCCTTTGATTTCATATCTCTGGCATTTATCACAGGGTCCAGCACATAGAAGGTACCAGGGACTGTTTACTGAATGAAGTGGAATTGAGAGACAGAGGCTGGACTGTGATTGGCTCCATGGGTCAAAGTAAGAGTCTTGTTTTAGCTTTC